GGGGGGGGGGGGGCTGAGATGACGATGACGCCTCACCGTGGTTTCTAGCTTGGAGGCCGTCAGGAACGAGGCGAGCTCTGCGGTGTAGGACGCGGCCAAGACAAAGGAGGTGAAGAGCCAGCCTGCCACAACCACAGCACAACCACAAGGCAAGACAAGCTTGTAAGAAAAATACGAGCATCAAACAATGAAGATATAAGATAAGACAAGCTGGACCGGTAGGACGCGGCCAAGACGAAGGAGGTGAAGAGCCACCCTGCGACAACCTCAACTACAAGACAAGATAAGTCACGAAAAGACAAGAAGAGCCACGAAAAGACAAGATGAGCCACGAAAAAGTCGAGGAAATGTCAAGCCAAGCCAAGTAAAACAAAACAAGGATATCCCAAGCCCAGCCAAGACAAGACAATTCCACGGTAAAACAACACAAGATAAGACAAGATTAGAGAAGACAAGATAAGGATAAGATAAGACACGACAAGCTAGACCGGACGAAGCTGGAACCGGAAGGACGATCGCCGTGTGATATGTACTAAATGGAGCAGGACGAGACAACAATCAGCGACAACGGCGACAGTAGCGGCGGCAAAAAGAAGCAGCATCGGTGTTGCCACCTTCAAATTGCGGGCCTTGAAGAAAAGCACCGCCAGTCGACTTTTCATGTTTTTCACGGCAGATAAACACCAGGAGTGGCAAATGTGCAACATTTTTCGATTCCAACAACGGCGACGGAGTGACACGATGGCCCCGACAACGACAGAAGCAACCGCCCCAGTACAGCAAGATGCACACGGCATACCGCAAAACACACACGACAAGCGGAAGCACGCAATTACTCCATTTTACTCTCAACACACCGAAAAAAATGCAAAATTACCTAGGGTGAGCAGGTACCCCTCCAGCGTTTCGGGCTTGTGCGTGAGCTGCGACATCATCAACGACGACGTCACGTACACCGAACGACTAATACCCTGAAGGTGTCCATACCAACACCACGGAAGGCGAGAGGGGGGGGGAGAAGAAAAGCGACAAGAGAAAAAAGGGGAGAATGGCGTCAGATAAATAACAACAGCACCAGACTTCGTCGGACCGCCCCCTCCCCCCGCCGTGACCCCGCTAAACGTAGCTTTCGAACTCCCGACCAAAGCTTCCGTCTCTTGGATGAAAAGGGGCGGACAACGAGCTCTGAGACCCCGGGACGTGCAGCAACAATAAGTGCGGTTACATGTCGAATGGGTAGTATTTCTGTGTTTGTATTTATTTTTCCTAATAGCTTCGACTCATTCGCAAGGCAAAAAAGATAACAAGACCTCCAAGGCACCGTGAAGTGACCNGAGGACGCGTGGTCAATGGCCTAACCGCTAAGGCATGCAAAACATAGGAGTACGCCCCCCCCCCCCCCCCCCCCCCCCCTCCGCTTCTCGAGGATGCGTGGTCAACGGTCTAACCGCTATGGCATGCAAAACACCAGTACGCCCCCTCAGTCCTCTGGAGGACGCGTGGCCAATGCGAAGCATGCGAAACATGAGAGTACCCCACCCGTCCCCGCCCTGCCTCACCCTTGTGACCGTCCTGTGGCGCCTGCCCCAGCCACCCCTGGAGAACTGGTCATTCTTCGCGCCCTCGAAGAGCCACAGCAGAACCACCGTCACGACGAGGGACACGAGGAGCATCAGCCACAGGCTGGCCTCGAACGGGGCGAACGCCTTCCAGAAATTCACCTGAGCGATGCGCGGTGAGGCGTGGATAGAGGTACGAGAGGAGGCCCAGCAGGTAGGATTGGATCGGTTCGTGGGTGGGAGTTAGGGAAGACAGGACGAAGCCTACTGACAGAGGCGTCAAGCCAAGCAAATGAAAGGGGGCATCATGAAAATGGAAGGGGGCACGCGAAAATGCAGCGGGTTTGAGAGAGAGAGGCGGACGGGGGCCCGGCCGCGGTTTCTCTTCCTTTGTCCCACCTCTCTCCCTGGCTGGCTGGCTGACTGGCTGGCTGTTGTCTCTGTCCGCCGTCCGTCTCTCTTTCTCTTGCTCAATGTCTCTCGCCCTGCCTCTGTCTCTATTTCTGTCACTTTCACTCTCCCCCCCCCCCCCCCCCCCCCCCNCCCCCCCCCCCCCTCCTCTCTCACCCCTTCGTCGATGGTGGGCAGGTAGACGAACGCGATGCCCAGGTCGAAGTACGGGTACGTGAAGGACACGTACTCCGCACGCTCCGACGTGATGGTGATCCAGCTCCCCGTCATGTCCGCCGACCCGTTCCTCACCATCTCGATGGTGTCTGGAGTTGTCGTGCCTTCGGGCGGTGCCCTAAGCGAGTACGTGAAGCCTACGACATCAGCAAGTTTCTGTTTTTGCGAAAAACAGGCAAAAGCGGAAGACAGGGAGGAATGGAAGAAGAGGTGCTTAAGCAACACTTCGGGGATTGAGAATCAGGGGGGGGGGGGGGGGGGG